CAAGAAGACACAGGGTCGGCAGGATAAACCCCACTTAATAGATATGAAAACTGAGAGTCTGAGATGTTAAATTCATCCAAGGCCAATTAGCAGGGATCTGGGGTTGGGCGTTCCCCTTATCTGCTACCTGCTCATCAGCCCATCCAAGTAGAGTGAAGTTAAGAGAGTGGACCAGGTCCTCAGAGGGAAGGCAGATGGGGCTGAGAAGGTATCAGCCTGGGCAGCGCGTTTCCAGTGGCCCAGAAGGCTCTGCCTGACACAGCTCCCCTCTTAATTGATTGTTAATTATCACCTGTCACGGGCTCCTCTGATGACATCCAACACAGAAGCCATGGACGAGGTCCAGAGTGTACGGGGAAAATTAAAACGGGTGTGAGACTGGCAGTAACACCCATGTGACTTGTAATCAGCACGTGTCGGGGTTTTATGGCCAGAGTACAGGATGAAGGGGTTGTAGGGAGACAGAACAACCAGGATAGACTGAGTCATGGATGCTGGGGAGAGTTGCAGAAAGGAGTGGGGAGGGAGTCTGAGGAGGGCCATGGGGCTGAGCAGCAAGCCCTAGATCTGTCTCTTCCCTGCTGGTTGGCCTCAGATGAACATGTCTTGTCCTGAGCGCCCTTGTCTGAGACGGGAGGCAGCAGGAGCCAGGCAGCAGGGCTCAGAGCAGCCAGGCTGGGTCAGTATCTGGCATTTGATCCTGGTGTGAGGCAGAGGGTAGTGTTCCATGAGGTTCAGTGGAAAATAGGGAGAAAGGGAGTGGGCTAGTGCCCCAGAGGCAGGGGAGTCAGCAGAGTTACTTTGTGGCCTGGGGAGATCTGGGAGGATCTGCGGGCAGGTGCAAAGCTGCAGACAGGAGGAAGGAAATGGGACTAAAATGAGCACCTGGAGGGTGCGCTGAACACACAAAGGAACCAGGAGTGGGAGAGCACCGGCTGTGGGTCAGATTAGGAAGGTTTTTGAGAGTCACAAATATAACTTTGGAATTAATTTGTCCAATACATACTCACTGGAGGCCTACTATGTGCTGGGCACTGTCCAAGCGCTGGAGGAGACCGCAGTGACCATGGTAGGCAAAACCTGCCCTAGTGGGGCTTGATGTCTAATGGAGAACGTGATGGGACAGATTCAAGAATTTAAAATCTGGTTTTCTTCCCTGCTTGAGCGAAGCATAGACATTGCCCATAAGTAGACAGAGCCTCCTAGGGTTACTTCAGCCAGTGTTCTGCCTCCAAGTGGGAGGACGCCATGTCAAGGGCGTGGACCCCATCATGATTTTGGAAGCATCTCAAGCAATGGATTTCACAACTTCCCTGTGTTGCCAATAGCATCTTATGCCGAAAAACAATGCTCTTGGGCCTGGGGTTTCCCTAGAAGTACAAATAGGCCAGGTGGGAAAGAAATGTGAAATCTGGCCAGGCACGGTGGCTCACGCCTATAATCCCAGCACTTTGGGAGGCCGTGGCGGGTGGATCACCGGAGGTCATGAGTTCAAGACCAGCCTGGTCAACATGGCAAAAACCAGTCACTACTAAAAAAATACAAAAATTAGCCAGGCACAGTGCTGCGTATCTGTAATCCCAGCTACTCAGGAGGCTAAGCCAGGAGAATCGCTTGAACTTGGGAGGCGGAGGTTGTGGTGAGCTAAGATTGTGCTACTGCATTCCAGCCTGGGCAACAGGGCGAGACTCCATCTCAAAAAAGCAAAAAAAGAAAGAAAAAAAGAAATGTGAAATCTGTCAGTTTCTCATGGTGCTTGAGTAGGAGTGACAGACAGAAATTGACAGAAAAGGAGATAGTTTAGTGATCAGTTCCCTTCCTCTCTACATTTCCCCTTGGGGAAGGACTTTCCTGCCTAAACCAAGGCTAAGTCCCCATTCCAGGCCTCAGGGAACGTGTCAAAGTTCAGTAGGGAGAATGAGCCAAACTACATTATTTCTGCAGGAGCAGGAAGAGAATGCCTCTGAGGCAAGTATGTTTCTCTTACAGGTGCGTGAGGTCATACTGAGTAAAGATCAAGTGGGCAACTGTTCAATTCGTACCATGGGCAGAATTCTAAGATGGCCCCAAGTCCCCTCCACACTGATGCACACATCCTGTGTAATCCCCTTCCCTTGAGTATGGGCAGGATGAGTAAACATGATGGTTACCAATTGGTTGATTTTGAGTTAATAAAAAGAAGCATCATCCAGGGTGAGTCTGAGGTAATAGGTTAGCCCTGTAAATGAAGCTGAAGCCCCAGAGAGACACGGTCCTGTTGGCCTTGAAGGAGTCAGGTACCAGGTTATGGAGAGGGCCACATGGCAAGGAACAGCAGGCAGGGAACAGCAGGCAACCTCTAGTGACTGAGGACCTAAGTCCTGTGATGGCAAGGAACTGAATTGTGCCAACAAGAGTGAGCTTGATGGAGGACCCCACACCTTAGATGATATTGCAGCCTCTACTGACATCCTGGTTTCAGTCTGGTGAGACCCTGAGCCGAGAAACCAGATGAGCTGTACCCAGACTAGACTCACAGAGCTATGAGAAATAAACAGGTGTTGCTTCAAGTGGCTGGATTTGTGGTAATGTGTTATACAGCACTAGATGAGGAATACACTTGGTGTGGTTTAGAGCACCTTGAAGAGCCCTCCAACACAATCCCAAGGGGGATTGTGACAGCACCGGGAGCTTCCTCCTGCTCAGGGCCTTTTCCCTTGTGAAATGCAAGCAACCTTTGGGTGAAAACATATAGGAAGCCTTAGTCGCCATTCATACATTAATCTGCATAAGTTCCAACAACTCCGAGGGTAAGGTTGGATGTCAGGGAAGACAGCAGCTTCCCAGTCCTTTCCTGAGGGGTTTCATTAGGGAGGAAAAGTGAGAGCATGGCAACCAGAGAGGAGAAAGCCCATGGACAGGAGGACAGAGCTGAGAGGCGGCACACTGGCCCCAGGTATGAGAATAAGGAAGGGCACTGAATGGCCAGGCTGGAAGCACTGAAGATGAGCACTGAGGATGTCCCATTTTACCTGGGATTGTCCTTGGGATTGGGGTTGTATTCACAAGGTCTTCTGGGCTAAGAGGGTTCCTCTGCTGGCCCGGTAGTGGGGCACCCATCACGCCCTGCAGGGAAGGAGCAGAGGGCACGGCTGGGCTGTGGGAGGCAGTGATTCATTCTGGCTGCAGTCTTTGGGGGCTCCAGTGGAGCAGGAAGTGGGCTGAAGTGTTGTGCTGAGGGATGGAGTGTGGCCTTTCTACCCGGACCCCTGCCCACCTGTGATCCCTGGAGAACACAGGAGTGGCGTCGTCGTTCTTGCCTTGAGTAGTTCATCTCAGCTCACTCATCCCAATTCTCAGCTCGGGAAGGGCACCATGTGTAAGTGGCATGTCTGGTTGTGAATGGGACATAATTTCAGGGCCCACAAACATTCTCACTTCCAAAGCCTCTCTGAGGGCTGATCAGAGTCTAGGATGCCACCATTTAAGCCCATCACCTTCACATAGACCTTGTCCCTTATTTAAAGGCAGGAGCCTCTAGGGGCATGGCTCAGTCACAGCTTCCCAGCCCTTTCCTGAGGCGTTTCAATAGGGAGGAAAAGTGAGAGCATAGCAACCGGAGAGGAAAAATCCCATGGACAGGAGGACAGAGCTGAGAGGAGGCACACTGGCCCCCTGACAGAAGTTTTCTTGGGATCAGATCTGCCCAGGTGAGGTACCATGCCCCCAAGCTCACCCGACCCAGCCCTGCCCTGGTTGGACAGCTCCCATCAAAAGAACAGAGTTGACTCAAATTGGAGAACTCTTAACAATGATGGCCTGGAAGGACCCCCATTCTTGGGACATTCAGTCAACTTTTTAGCAAATCCGCATTCATTGAGAACCTACCTGGTACTGGGAAAAGGGAGATGGTCCAACCCCAGTCTCTACCCAGGGAAAGAGAACTACCCCAGTGCAGAGACATGGTTGCTGGGGAGGAGTAAGGGAGCAGGAGGAGCCGTGAAGGTTTTTTTTAGCATTTCTGTTTTTCATTGTTTATTATTTTTAAAGTTTTCACAAAGGTAGAAACAACAGTGTTATAATTCCCATCATCGAGCTCTAACCATTTTATTATTTATTAATATTAATATTGTGTCATCTAATTTTCCACATTTTTGACACAATACAAATTCAAGATGTCATGCATTGCACCCATAAGTACTTCTGTATGCATCTCTGACATGAACATAAAAAAAAAATAGAGACAAGTTCTCACTCTTTTGGCGAGACTGGAGTGCTGTGGTGCAATCATAGCTCACTGTGACCTCCAACTCTTGGGGCTCAAGCAGTCCTCCCACCTCAGACTTCCCAGTACCTGAGGACCACAGGTGTGCACCAGGGCACCCAGTTAATTTTCTTTTTTAGAGAGACAAGGTCTAACTACGTTGCCTAGGCTGGTCTCAAACTCCTGAGCTCAAGCAATCCTCTCTCCTCAGCCTCCCAAGATGCTAGGATTACAGGCCTGCGCTAGTGCGCCAGGCCGTGAACCCTTTGTAATACCCGCCACAGCATCAAAATCTGACCACCATACACAGCACCTCTCTCTGGCCCTTGAGACATTACCAGTTCCCAGAACCGAAGCCTGCATCCTACACCTCTGGGAGTCTTACCAAGCACCTGGGCCCTGTGGCCATGACACGGTAGGCGGTTCAGACTTGAGCTGCCCCGGAGCCCTGCGGTGTGCATTCCGGAGCCCCGCACTGTGCATTCCGGAGCCCCGCACTGTGCAGACCGGAGCACCCCCCCGCGCCCGCCGCCACCCGCACTGTGCATTCCCAAGCCCCCGCAGCGTGCATTCCGGAGCCCCCTCCGCCCCCGCCCCGCACTGTGCGTTCGGGTGCCCCGGCACGATGCAGTCCGGAGCCCAGCGCTGTGCATCCTAAGCTCCGCCCAATTTTGGCAGGGTGACTCTCCCACCCCTCAGAAGGGTTGACCACCCTTCCCCTCTGAGCCCTTCCTCCTCTCTGTCCTTGTTCTTGCAGATTGAAATGCTAGAACACAAGTACGGGGGCCACCTCGTGTCCCGGCGCGCCGCTTGCACCATCCAAACCGCCTTCCGCCAATACCAACTCAGCAAGAACTTCGAGAAAATCCGCAACTCACTCCTGGAGAGCCGCCTGCCACGGCGGATCTCCCTGCGCAAGGTGCGGCCACCAACCGCCGAGAGCTTGGCGGCGGAGAAAGCGCTCATGGAGGGCTACGGCCTCATGGGACTGCCCCTGGTGCGTTCGCCCTCCTTGCCGCCCACCTTTGCGGGCACCCTCACCGAGCTGGAGGACTCTTTCACCGAGCAGGTGCAATCCCTGGCCAAGTCCATCGACGACGCGCTCAGCACCTGGAGCCTCAAGACCATGTGCTCCCTGCAGGAGAGCAGCGCTTATCAGCTCCACCAGGCCCTGCAGGCAGCCGCGGGGACCTCAGGCCTGGAGGCAGAGATGCGGGAGCCGGAGAGCGCAGGCCCCAGGCCTGGGGATGAGGCCACGGAGACTCCCGGCCTGCCCCCGGGCCACGGCGGCACCCTCATGATGGCTTTCCGGGACGTCACGGTACAGATCGCCAACCAGAACATTTCTGTTTCCTCCTCCACCGCTCTGTCCGTAGCCAACTGCCTGGGCGCCCAGACGGCCCAGGCCACAGGAGAGCCCGCCGCAAGCAAGGCTGAGCAGGGCGAGACCCTGGGGCAGGAGGCCCTGGAAGCCTCCGCCGTGGGCCAGGGAGACGTGTCAGCGGAGGACACGTGCACAGAGCCTGGGGCTAGTGGGGTGGTGGATGAAGCCACAGCAGCCAAAGCAGAGGAGGAAGAGGAGGAGGAGGAGGCAGCGGAGGTGGGGAAAGGAGCGGAGGCTGAGGCAGGCAATTTGGAGCAGCTGAGCAGCAGCAGCCTGTCCACCAAGTCTGCCAAGTCAGGCTCAGAGGTGTCGGCCTCCGCCTCCAAGGAGGCCCTGCAGGCCATGATCCTGAGTCTGCCGCGCTACCACTGCGAGAACCCAGCCAGCTGCAAGTCGCCCACGCTCTCCACCGACACCCTGCGAAAGCGCCTTTATCGCATCGGCCTCAACCTCTTCAACATGTAAGTGATCCCTGGCCCCAGCGTCCTGGGAGGGAGGGAAGGAGGAGGGGCACCTCCCCTCAACCAAGCAGGGCACCAGATAACTTCCCACAGCATCCCAGGGTCCTCCAGGCTCATCTGTGCGGTGCCTGATCCCTGAGGTCATGTTTAGGAAGTACGCATTTTATTTTTAAGCATTCTGAGTTTATTTTAAAAGTAAGATTAAAGGAAAAGATAACACATCTAACACATGCTTTCACAACTTACAATTTAACACGAAGAGAATGTAAAAGAAAAGACAGTATTAAGTAAATAACAGTCCAGGCGGTTTGAGGATTGGGCAGCAATCATTCGGGTGGAATAGGAAGCCAGGGAAACCGCATTAGCTCCCTGGATTGATGAAATGCGGGGCTGGGTGGGGGAGGGAGGAGAGGCCCCTTGTAAAGAATGACAACAGAGAGCAGGGGGGCAGGGGGGGCCTACGAGGAAGACAGAGTGTGAAGCAGGCAGAGGCAGACTAGAAAGAGAACCGGGAAGAAATGACTGACTGCCATAGCTCAGAGACGGCAACGAGACCCCGACAGGTCCTGCCCCAAATGTGCACAGAGGTAAGGAAGCACACCTGCCCCTCCCGTGGAAATGGAAAGTCTAGGAGGCACTGGTCTCCATCCTCCACTCACCCCTTCCTTCATAAGCTGGAGCCAAGAGCACATCTCTGCTGCCTCAATGGTTGGTCATTCATTCATTCAGCTGTTATTTATTGGGTGCCAGGCACTGTGACTACAGAGGTGAGTAGGACACATCCCCTGCCCTCAAGGGGCTCCTAGTCTAGGAAAAGTAGCTATTGTTCATAGCTCACCTTACATAAAGCATCCGTAATCTTCCTAACAGTATCTAACAGAGGCATTACCATGCTGTTAACTCACACCAGTAAGACGAGTTGCACACAATGAGACAGCTAGTACTTGGCAGACCAAGGGGAAGGCGGATCTGACTCCAAACCACGCCCCTCCATAGTGGCACTTCTCCATGCACATGAAAATTTATGCAGATACTCATCTCCCTCAAGACAGTCGTTCTTAACTATCCATAATGCAGGACCAGTTTTGTTCCCCCACACCCCCCTGAAAATACATTGTGGGCTAATACTTTTGTAAATCACAATAAAAATGGGTTGCTAGAAAAAAAAATCACATGCCTGGTTGTCCCGGAAATGTCAAAGCGTTATGAAAGGCTCTGAGCACTTACGCTGTGTTTCTGTGCTTGTCTCCTCATAGACCAGTGAGAAACAGCTCAGGGAGCAGCATGGCCGCAAAGCTTGCAAAGGGAAGAGCGGGTGTGGTGGAGAGCTCACCTCTGTTTCTTGCACCCTCTCCCCAGGGTCAGGGAGTCTGCAGTGGGAACCTGCATATTGACAACAAGATATGGGTAGGAGGAGGCGCAGGCCCGGGGTAATACCCAGGAGGCAGGTACAGAGAAGAGCATTTCTCCTCCACCTGCTCTGGGATTCATTTTGTTTCCAGATCTACCCTGTCCTCCTTCTGGTCACACACCATCCTCTGCATGAGGATGTTCAGGGGATTGAGGCTTTGGTGAGAGATGCTTCCGATAGGGAACTGGATTTCCAAGAGTCTCTGGGCACTTCTATGGGTGGAAGATGGAAGAAAGAGTCATGGATGGCTTCGGCTCACTCTCTACTGCTTCTCCCCACCCCACCTGCAGAAACCCAGACAAGGGCATCCAGTTCCTCATCTCCCGCGGCTTCATCCCTGACACCCCCATTGGTGTGGCCCATTTCCTCCTCCAGCGAAAGGGCCTCAGCCGCCAGATGATTGGAGAGTTCCTGGGCAACAGCAAGAAGCAGTTCAACCGCGACGTGCTGGAGTGAGTACCCCTCGCTCCAGGCCGCCCCCACTCTTTCCCACGCCCCGCCTGCCCCGGTTCTCTCTGTGAGCTCCTTGGTGAAATCCTCACTCCAGTTCTAACAGCTTCCAGCTTCCAGATTGGCCACAGGAATAAGAATCCCCTCTTTAGCCCATCATCCTAGTGGGACGGAGCCCTGTCTGCCCTTAGAGTCATTGATTAAGTTCGCTCCAGGCTCCATGTGAGGCACCAGGGGTACAGAAATGGTTCAAAGAGGCACAAAGCCCTTTCTGCCTGCTGCCCTCCAGGGTAAGAGAAACCAGGAAAAGGAAAGGGCTTGTGTCAGCACTGGGGTTCGTCTCTGCCTAGTGAAGAGCCCCTCAGCCCCCTTACCCCAGGGCCTTCCCATTCCCCAAGTTCATTTTCATATCGCTGGAGGCAAAATGTGAGGCAGAAAAAAGAAGGGGCTAGACTGAGGGTTTTAGATCAAGGAAATACTACCATTCCATACAGAGAAATCAATCTACAAAATCATGACCAAAGAAAAACTGTTTTAAAGTCCAGTAGCAGGGTGGGGTCCCCAAGGGGGCTGCCTTTGCCCCCACTCAGCTCTGATAGTGTGGACAGGCAAGAGTCTCTTCACACTCACGCCTTGTCCTGAGTGAGAGCAGGGCTAGCCCTCCTCTGGGGCTGAGGGGCAGGGCCTTGCACCACTCCTCCCCTGGGACATCTGCTCTAGCCCCTACCATGCCCCGCGTTCTTTCTGCCTTCCACTAGTCCCCTAGGCTGGCTTCCTTCCTGAAGGTCACCATTCTGCAGGTACCCTCCCTTTTTCTCTTCCCTCTTTCTCCGTGGGGACAGTCAGCAGAAGTGTCTCCCCGGAGGCCCTGGGAGAAGTTCTCCCTTTCGTACCCGCCCCTGGAGCAGCAAGGGACTGCCAGAGAGAGTTTGGACCCTCAGAGAGTCACCCACCCAGCGGTCAGCATCCCTGGAGTGGGACCTCAGAGATTTAGCTTTGATTTATGGAGACATCTTGCTGCTGTGTGCCCATGTGGAGAAGCCCCTGTCCTCTGGGCCTGCGTTTCCATGCCTGCAGAGTGGTGCTGGGTTGCGAGGACTGGACCCGTTGCGCTGTGAAATCCCCATCACATTTCTAAATCCCCTGACGTGGCGGTTGTCTGACAGGGTAATAAGAAGAGCGAGGACTGGGGTCCACGCGGGGACATTGAAATCCCTGCATTGCCCTCAGCTGGGCAGACTGAGTTCTTGCCCTTGACTCTTGGTGGCTTTTGACAATGTCTCATCCCTTCTAGAGCTGCTGGTGGAGATGCTGTGCGCCCCTCAAAGAGGAAAGAGAGCCAATCATAGGCAGTGTCTCCCTTTCACCTCCTTTCTCTTCACCCTCCAGCTTCCCTTCCCTTCCCCAGCACTGCTGTGAGGGCCTGTGGAGGTGATACAGGGATCCAGGGCACATCCAGGTTGTAGAAAGGGAAAGATGGCATTTCCTCATGGCCTTCCTTTTCTGTGTCCCCTCACTGGCTCATCTCTCTGGCTTTCATACACTGCTGTCTGGTCCATTCCTCCCCAAGCCAGGGTGAGGTACTGGCCCCCTTGCCCCAGGGCTCCCTGCTATGTCTCTCTGCCCTGGGGGTAGGAGTCACTTTGCTTCACTCATAGGCCCTGACTGTTGTCTGTTTTCTTTCCCAGTCCCCATTTGGCCTGCACCCTGAATTCTAACCTGCGGGGCCCACATTGATCTGGAGTGCTGGGAACACAGAGTTTTCCTCCAGCCCTGGTGATGCTGAGCGCACAATGAAAACTAATTGCCCTCCTCCCTGGGAGACTGGGCGTGTGGGCTGTGGACTGGACGCTTGGCGCAGTGGCTGCAGCCTGTGCTGAGGAGGGGAGCCAGGCTGGGGGCTGGGCCAACCCCCTCCGGCCGCTGGGATCAGGCTTGGGATGGCTAGGGGCCGGACATCCGCCCTGGTGCACTCTTCCAGTGAGAAGAGGCAGCATGGTGAGGCAGGAGAAATAGCTGGGCTCAGGCTCTGCTCTTCTGTGCTGTATAGCTTTGGCAGGTCACCTCCTTAGGCCTCAGTTTCCTCATCTGTAAAATGAGAGGGTTGGGCAATGTGCTTGCGAAGTTTCCTCCAAGTCCTGCAAATCTCCCACCTTTCCCATCTCTTAGTGCATTGGTAGCACTGCCCTAAACACTGGGGCATGCTTTGTCATCTGCAGAGCAGCCTGCAGGTGCCAGGGATCATGGGGGAATGAGTTGGTCATTTGTTATTCATTCAACAAACATCGAATAGCTATTGTGTGTTGAGAACGGGGCCACGCTGGGCATCCGTGTTCGTGTGTATGTGTGTGCGAAGAGGCATGGCTCACAGTCTCAGGGAACTTATGGACCCAGGTGTGGATGGGGAGAGGTGAGGAGAAGCATGGAAAGCGAGTAAGGAGACCGGGGTCCTCCAGCCGCAGGGCTGAGTGCAGAGCTGAGCCCCGGTATGCCCCAGTGAAAGCTGCAATCTCTCATGCTTGATTCTGTGGCAGTGCAGGCTGGGTCCTGGAGGCCCTGGCATGCTGACCCAGCGCCACAGAAAGGAGCCCCTCCCCAAAGTCCATAGGCCACTGACTGCCTGGTTTCTCTCCAAGGTGGAGAGGGCTCTCTCCTGCAAAGGAGAAGGAGAAGCAGGAAGCGGCAGGCGCTAGCAGGGGAGGTGGGCCATGCCGGCCAGCCAGCCTGGATTTTAGAATCACTGTCTCTTCCTCATTCCCACCAGAGAAAACACACACACTGAGTCACCAGGTGCCATTTTGCCCAGGCCTGGAAGGCTTCATTGGGATTCTGTACGGCTCCCCTGCCCTCCCCCCGCCTCCCCGTGACATTTAGCAAGTGGCATTCGTTCTGTAGAAAGCTGTTTGCTGAATAAAAGGTTATAAATCACCCATCCCCTTGGAGACGCAAACAGCCCAAACCACAGCGCTCTCCCAGGAAGCAGCCGATGAGGAAGGGTGGAGGCAGGAAGCCGATGGAGGGGAAGGGTGAGCTCCCAGGCTCAGGCCTTCGGGGAAAGAAGAGGAGGGAGGGAGCAGCTTCCACCTCGGCTGCTGGCCTGTGTCTGGGCGTCATGGATGCAGTGACATTTGCTTCCAGAATTTGGCCGTCAGCACTCTTGAAGCTGACATCTCCATCCTTTTGTGTCTTATTTCCACAGAAGACACATTCCAAGAGGGAATGTATTCTTACCAGTCCGTATCAAATGATAATAATAGAAGGCATGCTGGGCCCACAGAGCCACACTCATTCCAGTATTTACCTGCAAAGGTTTTGCTTTTGGTTTTTTCGAGACAGAGTCTTGCTGTATTGCCCAGGCTGGAGTGCAGTGGTGCGATCATGGCTCGCTGCAGCCTCAGACTCCTGGCCTCAAGAGAACCTCCCACCTCAGCCTCCTGAGTAGCTGGCCCCACTGACATGTGCCGCCACGCCTGGCTAATTTTTTAAATATTTTTGTAGAGATGGGGTCTCACTATGTTGCCCAGGCTGGTCTCAAACTCCTGGCCTCACACAATACTCCTCCCTCAGCCTCCCGAAATGCTGGGATTACAGGCATGAGCCACTATGCCCAGCCTGTTTGTTTGTTTTTAAAGGAGAAATCAGCCTCAGTTTCTTCATTAGTAAAATGCTGGTAAGAGTACCTGTCTCATACGAATTAAATGTTTTCAATGTACATGAAGTGCCTGAGGCTCAGTAAGTTATCTGTGTTAGCTATTTCTTTCCTTTTTTTTTATTAGAGACAGGACCCCTCTTTGTCACCACGGCTAGCTATAGTGCAGTGGCTTGATCAAAGCTCACTGCAACTTGAACTCCTGGGCCCACATGATCCTCCTGAGTAGCTGGGACTACAAGCTAAAAATTAGCTATTTCCATTATTAACTTTCCTACCTGAAAGCACAGACATTAGAACCCCCAGTCGCATTCCCCATGCACAAGAGAATCCTCAAACATGGCTCAGAGTCAGGTCTACTAGGCAGACAACAAGAACTTGCTGGAACTTGCTGGGCTTTGCTGGGAAGGGGGTCAGTTCAATCTGGAAGCATCCTGCAGCCTGAGGAAGCCCAGTCCAGAGGCTGAGAGTCATGTGGTGGCAGGAGCCAGCCGGGGTTAGGGTCCTCTGGGGCTGGAAGCCTCTCCCTCTCGGTTTTCACATGGCTGGGGAATTTGGCTCTGCTCTATTTCCTTTCTGAAATGTTCACTTCAGCAGGTTTGAAAGCCAGCGGATGGGGAATGCTCCATGCTGGCTGTGAGTGGCCTCTTTCTGGCCTGGACGATTTTTTCCGGTGTGAATTCCATGCACATGGAAAGCATCAGGGTCTACCATCTACGTGAAATGCAGGAACGTAGCTTCTGGGTTGAGCTACCAGAAGAAAGTTTCCTGGGTGTTCCTTCCCTCCACTGTGTCTGCTCCATCCTTTGTTAAATTCCAAAACATATCAGGGTTTGACATTTGGGTTAGATTTCATTATTTCATTTCCATGGAAATGTGTTGGCCAGAGTATAACAGGTTTGTTCTTCTTAGGGGACATTTAGAAGTAAAGACAGATTGTCTGTCAACTTTGACAGTCTGAAAGGCTCTGCTCTTTCATCGCTGGAAGAAATTATTTGAGAACGTCCTGCCCATATTGCTGTGTGTAATCTCAGTTACCTTATTCCCAAGGAATTCCCATGAGGAAGGGGAAGGTAGATCTTCGGCCTGGGCCGAAGGTAGATCTTATGTGTCTGGAGGAGATTAAAGGAGGTCCAGGCAGGCATTGTGGCTCATACCTGTGGTCCCAGCACTTTGGGAGGCCAAGGTGGCAGGATCCCATGAACCTAGGAGGTTAGGGATACCGTGAAATGTGAGAGCACCACTGCACCCCAGCCTGAGCAACAGAAACCTCATCTCTACAAAAAAAGAAATTAATAGCCAGGTGTGGTGGCAGGCACCTGAGGTCCCAGCTCCTCGGGAGGCCAAAGCAGG